ACCCAAAGACCACAAAAGAGCCAGAAAACCCAAGATGACAGTTCAACTCCCACTGAAGACAAAAACTGGGAAATGCCAAGAATAGTAATTGAACAGCTATACACCGATCAGACAGAACATTATGACATCTGTACTTCTGTATTCACTTCAATGCAACATTTCTGCCTTAACGTGTGTGTTTATAAATCTGCTTATAGTCCACATCATAGTGTATATATAGTATGTCAGAGTTTCTAACATGATGGCTTTTTAATACATTAGCAATTGTAACTTGAAAATAACCTCAAAACTAGAACAGGTGTCAAATTAGAATATCTGTGTAATGGTTAATGTATAATCAAAAGTAATTGTCTTTACCCTTCATTTTAGATGAAATCCATAAATGTGTATTTCATTTCAGATGAAATGATTTAATGTGGTTAATTATTCATTTCACTTTGCAAGAGTCTGATGATGATTCCCATTCAGATACTAGAAAACAGGTGGGCTTGCATAAAAAAAACCAATCATTACTTTGACACACTGCCTTAAAGTGCCTGTGGCATGCTCAGGTACCAAAGATTTCCAAGAGAAAATCCTGCTATTTTTGTAATTACAATTTTAGAATTTGTGGTAAGTCTATCGTCTCAGAATATTTTGAATGGGGAATGGTGGAGGACTGTCTCTTACAATGTGAAAACCTGTATAATTTTGTAGCACATTTTTAATTTTATTTATAATATTAAAATTCCAAAGATTCCAGCTTTGTTAGTGGACATAATAAAGTTTAGCACCAAGAATAATCCCACCAAAGCGTGAATGAGGTTGAAAGTGTGGGGGAAGCTGTGACACCTTACAAGCCTTCAGAAGTAAGTATTTTTGCAATGGGTATATTTTCAGTTGAAATTAAAAACATACAGTGTAGCATTGTGTTGCTTATGGTGATTTCATTTGCTTTTTGTTTATTTTGTGTTTAATAAGGTGAAACTGAGGAATGATGGAGACATCACTGTCTCAGCTCATTGTTAGAAGACTGCAAAAGCACAAAACACAGCCAATGTGATGGCAC